AATCAATCAGAAAATTTGGGTTTGGTTGAAACGGGATTATTCGGATTTTTCAAAGTCCCGTAACTTTTTTTTGAAGCAACTACAAACGAAAATTCTTTCACTACAATCAACTACAAACGATTCTCGATGAGAATCAATCAGAAAATTTGGGTTCGGTTGAAACGGGATTATTCGGTATTTTCAAAGTCCCATAACTTTTTTTTGAAGCAACTACAAACGAAAATTCTTTCACTACAATAAACTACAAACGATTCTCGATGAGAATCAATCAGAAAATTTGGGTTTGGTTGAAACGGGATTATTCGGATTTTTCAAAGTCCCGTAACTTTTTTTTGAAGCAACTACAAACGAAAATTCTTTCACTACAATCAACTACAAACGATTCTCGATGAGAATCAATCAGAAAATTTGGGTTTGGTTGAAACGGGATTATTCAGATTTTTCAAAGTCCCGTAACTTTTTTTTGAAGCAACTACAAACGAAAATTCTTTCACTACAATCAACTACAAACGATTCTCGATGAGAATCAATCAGAAAATTTGGGTTTGGTTGAAACGGGATTATTCGGATTTTTCAAAGTCCCGTAACTTTTTTTTGAAGCGACTACAAACGAAAATTCTTTCACTACAATCAACTACAAACGATTCTCGATGAGAATCAATCAGAAAATTTGGGTTTGGTTGAAACGGGATTATTCGGATTTTTCAAAGTCCCGTAACTTTTTTTTGAAGCAACTACAAACGAAAATTCTTTCACTACAATCAACTACAAACGATTCTCGATGAGAATCAATCAGAAAATTTGGGTTTGGTTGAAACGGGATTATTCGGATTTTTCAAAGTCCCGTAACTTGTTTTTGAAGCAACTACAAACGAAAATTCTTTCACTACAATCAACTACAAACGATTCTCGATGAGAATCAATCAGAAAATTTGGGTTTGGTTGAAACGGGATTATTCGGTATTTTCAAAGTCCCATAACTTTTTTTTGAAGCAACTACAAACGAAAATTCTTTCACTACAATCAACTACAAACGATTCTCGATGAGAATCAATCAGAAAATTTGGGTTCAGTTGAACCGGGATTATTCGGATTTTTCAAAGTCCCATTACTTTTTTTTGAAGCAACTACAAACGAAAATTCTTTCACTACAATCAACTACAAACGATTCTCGATGAGAATCAATTAGAAAATTTGGGTTTGGTTGAAACGGGATTATTCGGATTTTTCAAAGTCCCGTAACTTTTTTTTGAAGCAACTACAAATGAAAATTCTTTCACTACAATCAACTACAAACGATTCTCGATGAAAATCAATCAGAAAATTTGGGTTCAGTTGAACCGGGATTATTCGGATTTTTCAAAGTCCCATAACTTTTTTTTGAAGCAACTACAAACGAAAATTCTTTCACTACAATCAACTACAAACGATTCTCGATGAGAATCAATCAGAAAATTTTGGTTCGGTTGAAACGGGATTATTCGGTATTTTCAAAGTCCCATAACTTTTTTTTGAAGCAACTACAAACGAAAATTCTTTCACTACAATAAACTACAAACGATTCTCGATGAGAATCAATCAGAAAATTTGGGTTTGGTTGAAACGGGATTATTCGGTATTTTCAAAGTCCCATAACTTTTTTTTGAAGCAACTACAAACGAAAATTCTTTCACTACAATCAACTACAAACGATTCTCGATGAGAATCAATCAGAAAATTTGGGTTCAGTTGAACCGGGATTATTCGGATTTTTCAAAGTCCCATTACTTTTTTTTGAAGCAACTACAAACGAAAATTCTTTCACTACAATCAACTACAAACGATTCTCGATGAAAATCAATCAGAAAATTTGGGTTTGGTTGAAACGGGATTATTCGGATTTTTCAAAGTCCCGTAACTTTTTTTTGAAGCAACTACAAATGAAAATTCTTTCACTACAATCAACTACAAACGATTCTCGATGAAAATCAATCAGAAAATTTGGGTTCAGTTGAACCGGGATTATTCGGATTTTTCAAAGTCCCATAACTTTTTTTTGAAGCAACTACAAACGAAAATTCTTTCACTACAATCAACTACAAACGATTCTCGATGAGAATCAATCAGAAAATTTTGGTTCGGTTGAAACGGGATTATTCGGTATTTTCAAAGTCCCATAACTTTTTTTTGAAGCAACTACAAACGAAAATTCTTTCACTACAATAAACTACAAACGATTCTCGATGAGAATCAATCAGAAAATTTGGGTTTGGTTGAAACGGGATTATTCGGATTTTTCAAAGTCCCGTAACTTTTTTTTGAAGCAACTACAAACGAAAATTCTTTCACTACAATCAACTACAAACGATTCTCGATGAGAATCAATCAGAAAATTTGGGTTTGGTTGAAACGGGATTATTCAGATTTTTCAAAGTCCCGTAACTTTTTTTTGAAGCAACTACAAACGAAAATTCTTTCACTACAATCAACTACAAACGATTCTCGATGAGAATCAATCAGAAAATTTGGGTTTGGTTGAAACGGGATTATTCGGATTTTTCAAAGTCCCGTAACTTTTTTTTGAAGCAACTACAAACGAAAATTCTTTCACTACAATCAACTACAAACGATTCTCGATGAGAATCAATCAGAAAATTTGGGTTCGGATGAAACGGGATTATACGGACTTTTCAAAGTCCCGTAACTTTTTTTTGAAGCGACTACAAACGAAAATTCTTTCACTACAATCAACTACAAACGATTCTCGATGAGAATCAATCAGAAAATTTGGGTTTGGTTGAAACGGGATTATTCGGATTTTTCAAAGTCCCGTAACTTTTTTTTGAAGCAACTACAAACGAAAATTCTTTCACTACAATCAACTACAAACGATTCTCGATGAGAATCAATCAGAAAATTTGGGTTTGGTTGAAACGGGATTATTCGGATTTTTCAAAGTCCCGTAACTTGTTTTTGAAGCAACTACAAACGAAAATTCTTTCACTACAATCAACTACAAACGATTCTCGATGAGAATCAATCAGAAAATTTGGGTTTGGTTGAAACGGGATTATTCGGTATTTTCAAAGTCCCATAACTTTTTTTTGAAGCAACTACAAACGAAAATTCTTTCACTACAATCAACTACAAACGATTCTCGATGAGAATCAATCAGAAAATTTGGGTTCAGTTGAACCGGGATTATTCGGATTTTTCAAAGTCCCATTACTTTTTTTTGAAGCAACTACAAACGAAAATTCTTTCACTACAATCAACTACAAACGATTCTCGATGAGAATCAATTAGAAAATTTGGGTTTGGTTGAAACGGGATTATTCGGATTTTTCAAAGTCCCGTAACTTTTTTTTGAAGCAACTACAAATGAAAATTCTTTCACTACAATCAACTACAAACGATTCTCGATGAAAATCAATCAGAAAATTTGGGTTCAGTTGAACCGGGATTATTCGGATTTTTCAAAGTCCCATAACTTTTTTTTGAAGCAACTACAAACGAAAATTCTTTCACTACAATCAACTACAAACGATTCTCGATGAGAATCAATCAGAAAATTTTGGTTCGGTTGAAACGGGATTATTCGGTATTTTCAAAGTCCCATAACTTTTTTTTGAAGCAACTACAAACGAAAATTCTTTCACTACAATAAACTACAAACGATTCTCGATGAGAATCAATCAGAAAATTTGGGTTTGGTTGAAACGGGATTATTCGGATTTTTCAAAGTCCCATAACTTTTTTTTGGAGCAACTACAAACGAAAATTCTTTCACTACAATCAACTACAAACGATTCTCGATGAGAATCAATCAGAAAATTTGGGTACAGTTGAACCGGGATTATTCGGATTTTTCAAAGTCCCATAACTTTTTTTTGAAGCAACTACAAACGAAAATTCTTTCACTACAATCAACTACAAACGATTCTCAATGAGAATCAATCAGAAAATTTGGCTTTGGTTGAAACGGGATTATTCGGATTTTTCAAAGTCCCGTAACTTTTTTTTGAAGCAACTACAAACGAAAATTCTTTCACTACAATCAACTACAAACGATTCTCGATGAGAATCAATCAGAAAATTTGGGTTCGGATGAAACGGGATTATACGGACTTTTCAAAGTCCTGTAACTTTTTTTTGAAGCAACTACAAACGAAAATTCTTTCACTACAATCAACTACAAACGATTCTCGATACGAATCAATCAAAAATTTTGAGTTTGGCCGAATCGGGGTGCTAACGATTTTTTGAAGTCCCATAACTTTTTTTTGAAGCAACTACAAACGAAATAATTTTTACTACAATCAACTACATACGAAAGCCTTCAAGAATCGTTAAGAAAAAATTTGATTTTCAAAAGTCGGGTGCTAGGTTCACACAGCTCAATTTGCTTTATTTTTATAATTATAATAGAAATCAAAAAGAAGGTTCTCATGTTAAAAAAATATTTTTATAATAGGTACCTATTTCAACAATCAGTAAATTTATTCTTATCATATTATTAATGCTTGTTTTGCCTGTGTGTTTCATTTTTCCCCTTATGGGCGCCCACTTTCAACGAACACTGTTGATTTTTAAATAAAAATATAACTATATATTGTTAACCAAAATTTTAAATATGCACACCAATCAAATACACTGCTTGTAGAAATGGTGTCTCCACTGCCCAATTCCATAATCTGGCTGCCGAAATAATTATTTTGCCATGTGATGGTTTATTTTACAGGTATAATAAAACAAGTTGCCTGCTTATGTTTAAATTACTGACTATAATCTTGATTGTTTACAGGACAACACTTGTAGCCTGATTTTTATTACTGCTAACAAAATCTTTGTATGCTGGCCAAATAATATTTCAGCTGCTTTTTTTGCTATCCATAATTTTTAAATGTCATTCCAAATAATTACTTCTCTTTGTAATATAGGAAAATTACTTAGACTAGACTTTTGAAAACCTGTCTAAAACATAGAATAACAATGAAACAAAGTAAGAAAATGCCACTTACCACATTCATACAGAATATACTTTAGAATACTGTCATCGTCATCATAGTTGCTAGCTTCACACATGGAGAGGCCCAGCATGTATTCTGGTAGTTTCTTTAGTCGTTTTTCTCTGGCAGCTGGATCCTGACCCTGTGTACTACCGGCACAAGTTGCCAGTTTTTTACTAATCAACTGGAGTGCATTTCGTAAATGCTCTACCTTTCGATCAGCTGTCTGTAGCTCATCTGTCAAAGCTTCGTTTTTCCCTGATCTGTGTACAAAAACTTAATGCTCACATACACACTTTGATTTGATTAATTAATAATTCAATTTGATATGTCTATGATCACTTTTTTCAAAAGTCTGTCAATGAAATATTAAAATGTAGGAAGAGATTGATGTAGATAAATTAATACTGAGCCAAAATAGTAGTTTGGAACCCTGATTTGATTATGGAAACTGTGCTTCAAAGTGTAACAATAATTATTTTAATAAGATAGTGTTAATTATAAAACAGCACATTCCGTTACCATTTGTTAAAATATTGGAAAGTGCAGTTTCAATCTTTTATTAGGGATATTTATAATCAATCTATCACCATTATTGGTGAGTAAGGTGACTCTGAGAGTAATTATTAAGGTTTTCTCCAACAATTGGTGAAGCTGAAGATTGCTGAAAATTATGAAAGAATAAGTATAACTAATACTTAGAAGATGCATACATTATTTCAGGTTAAGTGTGTGACATCAACTGCTGACTATGGACTACAAAAAAAAGTTTTGTTTTAATAATAATAATGTCCAAATTAGACAATAAAGAAAGAGAAAAAGATTAGAAAATAACATTCCTTACAAAAGTAAATACATTTGGAGGTAATACATGAAAGTTTATGAATTCATATTATTTATGATTAATTACAATTACATTTTCTAATTGAATGTAAATACTAATTCAAATAATAAATATTTTTTACTACTTCAATTTCTTTGAAAGGGCTAAGTATTATTGACTATGTAAAGATAAACAATACAGTAATTCATTATAGATAACAATGTCTGATAAGATATTATATACTCAGCATCCCTATACTACAGTAGGTAGGTTATAGTATGAACACTATAAAGTTTTACCAATTATGATGGATTAGGTAACCTAAAATAAAAATACTAAAGATATTATTTGGATAAAGATGAGATAAAATCATCACTGTTACACTTTGAAGCACAGTGTCCATAGGCAGAATAGGCTTCCATACTACTATATTGGCTCAGTGAAGTTTATGAACAACATCAAATACATTTGTTTAAGATTATACACTATTAAAAAAAAAACAATATTTTTTTACATGAATGCTTTGACACCAAAAGCAGATGAAAATTTAGATTTGAGGCAGGCATTTTACTGAGCCTCAAGGGACAGAGAAATCTTATCAGTAAGATAAAAACATATTAAGATACCTTGAAAACGTTTGATCCGCAAGTTGCTTCACTCTATAGAATTGTTTCTTCATTTTAATTAGTTACTTTCGTTGATTTTATCAAAAACTACAAGGTCATTGGACTTAGTCAATAGTGAAATAATAAAACGATCAAGATCTCTCTAAAAAGAACGTAATGTCAGCACGGCAATGAGATCATCCTCGGCAGGGAATTAGAATCAGACAATAATAACAGTATCTCACAAAAACTGTCTACCATTAAGGCACTGCATAACCACTATTCGTATTTATTGATTTATTGTTGAAGGTTCTCAATTTTGTTCACTAAAACATCAGCATTTTTACTCCAATGGAACAAGAATGAAAATAAAAAAAATACAGTTCAGCACACGTACAGCAGCACAGACAGACCACTGCGTTTCTTTAAATAACAAATTAATCTGTGCCACTGCGAAAGTGAGACAGCCCACAGATTACTAAAATTAGACAGTCCGAAAAAAATATGTGTCAATGTTACCAATCTCTAAAAATATTTACCCTAATAGGGTTAATAAGGGTATTAGGGTTAATGCACGAACTTTATTTATTTATTGACGTTTCGCAGCCTTTTCAGGTCTGCATCGTCAGATTTTTTTTTATTTACTTTGTCGTTGTTGTGAAACAGACTGTAAATAATTGTAAAGCGATTGATTGATTGTAAGGACTGTAAAGCGATTTTGCTTCTTCTACACCCATTAGTACACCAATGCATACTAAATCACTTCCAACCTCTTTTTCAAATTCAGTGTCTCAATTACAATATACTCAGTCTTCTATTGAAAAGAAAAATTCATCACAGCAGCCAATAGGTAGAGTTCTTTATCAGTCATCAGATGCCAGCTTAGCTTTCCATTAGCTGTAATAATAATAATAATAAAAATGGACAAAAACAGACGCAGAACAATTAGAACGAACCACACGCACCACTCTTACAAAACATAACAATTTACACCCTAAATCTGCAATAGAAAGGCTTACTATCAAAAGGCAAAACGGAGGGAGAGGCCTAATAGACATCCAGCACCTTTGGCAGAAACAAGTCTATCGACTAAAAACATTCTTTCAATCAAAAGCTCGCACTAGTAACATACACAAAGCCATAGTTCAAAATGATTATAACTACACCCCACTTAACTTAAATAAACAGCTAAATACTCCATAAAATAGCTAGCGATGACCCGCAGAAACAAAAAATTGAGGACTGGAAGAAAAAGGTTCTTCATGGCCGACATCCTCATGACCTAGAACAATCCCATGTAAATCAACTAGCCTCAAATAAGTTTCTTAAAATAGGCAATTTATTCCCAGAAACTGAAGGATTTATAATTGCGATACAAGACCAGGTTATTAACACAAAAAATTATAGAAAATTTATTATCAAAGATCCATCAGTAACAAACGATAAATGTCGCAAATGTCACATTCAACCAGAAACAATTCAACACATAACAGGAGCGTGCACAACTCTCACGCAGACAGACTACACGCATAGACACAATCAGGTAGCAAATATAATTCATCAAAAATTAGCAATCAAATACACATTCATACAAGACCCAAACACTCCTTACTACAATTACACACCACAACCTATCTTAGAAAATGACACACATAAACTTTATTACGACCGCGCCATTCTCACCGACAGAACAATTCACTACAATAGACCGGATATAACCTTACAGGACAAAATAAATAAAGTTACTTACCTAATAGATATAGCTGTTCCGGTAGCTCGCTCAGCGATACTCGCTCAGCGGTACTCGCTCAGCGGTACTCGCTCAGCGGTACTCGCTCAGCGGTACTCGCTCAGCGGTACTCGCTCAGCGATACTAGCTCAGCGATACTCGCTCAGCCCAACTCGCATAGCGATACTCGCTCAGCGATACTGATAGCGATATTGTAAGACAACAGAGGAGCTCTCTAGCTATATCATGACCAAGGAAAAGTCTAAATTTCTAAATATTGTTCACCAAAATATACAAGGCTTTTTTGGTAAAGACTTAGAACTATGCTTATTTTTAAATACAATGAATATAAACATTTTATGTATTACAGAGCACTGGCTCAGAGATTATGAATTAGTTACAGGCTTAGATAATTATACAGTTGTTAGTAGTTTTTGTAGGAAATCGGCTATCAGGGGAGGCTCTCTCATAATCTTACAGAACAATCTTAAATACAAAGAACGTACAGATATTGTTACACTTTCAGTTGAACGTAATATAGAAATATCTTGTGTGGAACTTGAAGAAATGATCATAATATGTGTATATCGGCCCCCATCTGGGAATTACACTCAATTTGAGTCCGCTATGGAAGATGCTTTCAATATAGTATGTAGATGTAATAAAGTGGTTGTTGTGTGTGGTGATTTTAATATAAACATTTTAGTTAAGTGTCCATTAGTGAGTAGGTTTCTAAACTTAGAACTTATAGAATATGTCAAAAACTATTCAAAAACTTTTAAAAAGGTGTGTGCCATAGCAAAAGCTAAGTTTTTATCAAAAAAAAATTAGTCTTTCCGATAATAAAATAAAGACAACTTGGAATATAATTAATAATGAAACTGGAAGAAATAAATTTAATGAAAACACATATTCTTTAAAAATAGACAATAAGATTATTGGGACAGATAATGCCGTTGCAAACACTTTTGAAAATTTCTTTTCTAGAAATTTGAAACAACCATTTGAAACAACTAGAAATCTTAATTCTTGTTCTAGGTTAGCAATGACCCTCCTTGAGTCAAGTGTTGATAAGTGCAGTAATGATTTTCATTTTAGACATATCAGTAGCGACTGTATTATAAAAACTTTTAACTCAATTAAAATTAAAAAGACAGAGGATTATTGGGGAATATCAACATATATAATTAAACCGATTATCACTGTTATTGCGCCACAACTGGCCATTATATTTAACAAATGTATTGATGAGGGAGTGTTTCCAGATCTAATGAAATGTGCTAAAGTTATCCCTCTCTTTAAGGCTGGTGACAAATCAGATCCCAGCAATTTTAGGCCTATATCTGTATTACCAGCGCTAAGTAAAGTATTTGAGAAAATAATTTATAACCAATTACTAGCACACTTTTCTATAAATAAGCTATTTCATTTAAAACAGTTTGGGTTCACTAGAGGCAAAAGTACTACTGATGCTGGAACTGCACTTCTCAAACACATCTTTGATATATGGGAGAGTAAGCACGATGCTATTGGCATTTTTTGCGACTTATCAAAGGCGTTTGACTGCGTTAGCCATGAAACATTGTTAAATAAAATGAAGCATTATGGTGTATCAAATATTTCACTAAGTCTGATACAGTCTTATCTTTCTGCTAGGATTCAGAAAGTAGTTATAAATGAAGCTGAGTCTACAGGAGCACCCATTTCTATGGGCGTGCCCCAGGGTTCAATATTGGGCCCATTGCTTTTCCTTATTTATATCAATGACCTTCCTCACTTTACAAGAGATTTGTGTGAGACAGTATTATTTGCTGATGACACCTCTCTATTGTTTAAAGCTAGAAGAGGAAATGATTGTTATGACGAAGTAAATTGTGCTCTCTCTGAAGTCCTTCACTGGTTTACGGTAAATAATTTAAAACTTAACTCCAGTAAAACAAAATGCGTTAAGTTTACTCTACCTAATGTGAGGCAGGTTAATACTAGTATAAAAATAAATGACCAGCCTGTAGAGTTAGTGGATTCTACAAAGTTTCTGGGTATTACTTTAGACTCTCGTCTGCAATGGGATCCTCATATTGATGCCTTGTCAAGTAGATTGAGCTCTGCAGCTTTTGCTGTTAAAAAAATAAAACTCTTAACTGATGTGGAAACGGCAAGATTAGTTTACTTTGGTTACTTTCATAGTGTTAAGTCATATGGCCTTTTGTTGTGGGGCTCAGCCGCTAATATCGAAAGTATTTTCATACTGCAAAAGAGAGCTGTTCGCGCCATATACAATTTAAAGGCAAGAGAATCCCTTAGAGAAAAATTTAAAGAAATTAATATTTTAACACTGGCGTCGCAATACATTTATGAAAATTTAATATACCTAAGAAAAAACTATGATGAATTTGCAAAAAAAAGTCAAACCCATAACTTTAACACGAGATTTAAGAACAAGCTTGCCGTTCCATGTTTCAGACTCCAAAAATCAAGAGGTTCATTTCTGGGTTGTAGTATTGCATTGTTTAACAAAGTTCCCCAAGATCTGATTGAGCTTCCACTGACTAAATTTAAATCTCAGATCAAAAATACTCTTATGAATAAGGGCTATTATAAAGTTGATGATTATCTAAATGATCGTAATGCATGGACATAGTGCTTCTTATAATTTGATATTAAATGGGTATTACTCATTTTTCATAACAGTAATATTGTACCTATCTAATGCCGCTTCCTATATACTACTTAAAATGTTAACTATAAAATTAATTATAACTACATATTTATATTCTAGATGATGTAATGGAAAGTGACTTCAGACGTATTTCTGAAGTAATTTTTCAACTTGACGACACTGTATATAACAATACAGGGAGAAAAAAACAGCCCTTGCTGAGTTTCTTGCCGGTTCTTCTCAGTACAAGGTCTCCCGCCGTAGTTTTGCGAACCGATGGCATAGCTTCTTGACCTTCACAAGTGCTTGTAACAGCCTAGACTGAATAAATGACATTTCATTTCATTTCATACTCGCTCAGCGATACTCGCTCAGCGATACTCGCTCAGCGATACTCGCTCAGCGATACTCGCTCAGCGATACTCGCTCAGCGATACTCGCTCAGCGATACTCGCTCAGCGATACTCGCTCAGCGATACTAGCTCAGCGATACTCGCTCAGCCAAACTCGCATAGCGATACTCGCTCAGCGATACTGATAGCGATATTGTAAGACAACAGAGGAGCTCTCTAGCTATATCATGACCAAGGAAAAGTCTAAATTTCTAAATATTACTTACTCGCTCAGCGATACTCGCTCAGCGATACTCGCTCAGCAATACTCGCTCAGCGATACTCGCTCAGCGA